AATCAGTTACTAGTTATATCAAACTAAACCCTACTAACAATCAGTTACTAGTTATATCAAACTAAACCCTTCTAACCATCAGTTACTAGTTATATCAACCTAAACCCTTCTAACCATCAGTTACTAGTTATATCAAGCTAAACCCTTCTAACCATCAGTTACTAGTTAAATCAAGCTAAACCCTACTAACAATCAGTTACTAGTTATATCAAACTAAACCCTTCTAACCATTAGTTACTAGTTATATTAAGCTAAACTAGTTATACTAGTTATATCAACCTAAACCCTACTAACCATCAGTTACTAGTTATGTCAAACTAAACCCTTCTAACCAACTGATGGTTAGAAGGGCTTAGTTTGATATAACTAGTAACTGATTGTTAGTAGGGTTTAGCTTGATATAACTAGTAACTGATGGTTAGAAGGGTTTAGTTTGACATAACTAGTAACTGATGATTAGAAGGGTTTAGCTTGACGGTTAAAAGGGTTTAGCTTGATATAACTAGTAACTGATGGTTAGAAGGGTTTAGGTTGATATAACTAGTAACTGATGGTTAGAAGGGTTTAGCTTGATATAACTAGTAACTAATGGTAGGAAGGGTTTAGCTTGATATAACTAGTAACTAATGGTAGGAAGGGTTTAGCTTGATATAACTAGTAACTAATGGTAGGAAGGGTTTAACTTAATATAACTAGTAACTGATGGTTAGAAGGGTTTAGCTTGATATAACTAGTAACTAATGGTAGAAGGGTTCAGCTTGATATAACTAGTAGCTGATGGTTAGAAGGGTCTAGTTTGACATAACTAGTAACTAATGGTTAGAAGGGTTTAGCTTCACATTAATTAGTAACTGATGGTTAGAAGGGTTTAGCTTGACATAACTAGTAACTGATGGTTAGAAGGGTTTAACTTAATATAACTAGTAACTGATGGTTAGAAGGGTTTAGGTTGATATAACTAGTATCAGTTACTAGTAAGTTAAACCCTTCTAACCATCAGTTACTAGTTATATAATGGTTAGAAGGGTT